CCTGCCCACTTCGCCTGGGCACGCTGGTTTGCTGCCAAGAGGCCTATTCCGGGAGCTCAGAAGCGGCTGCTGTTTTGGAGGTCAGCCGGTGAGCCAGGGTGAGAATCACACCTGTTGTAGGGACTCAAGAGGGCAGGGAGCCCCGGCGGGATCCCACGGCACTGGGGACGTGGGGGAGCCCCGGAGGTCCATTCCCAGGGCCGCATGCTTGGTTCTTGGTCTGTTTCTGGCCTTGTCACCGTTTTGCGTTCCAGGGTGTCACTGCTGCACCCAGGGGCATCGCACGGGCCCCTCCGGCGTTTCACCACCACGAGGGTTCCTGCTCCTCTGAACGCCACGGTCGGACAGAAGGGGGCAGGCGGACAGCGACTGTCGTGGGGGTAGAGAGTGAGAGAGGAAAGTGACCCTCTAGAGGGCCGGGAAGGTGATGGGGTGGGTCACCCCTTCCAATCAAGCCCTAGTTGGTAGTGACCAAGGCTGCTCCCATCCCACTAGCAGAGCCTAGGGAACAGCTGCCCGGACCGCCAATGAACCCCACCTCAGCCGGCACCCAGCTGAGCAATCAGGCCTTGCATGGGCTTTGTAGATGCTCTTTCCCCTCCCCGGCATGTCAGGGCAAGGCCCATCAACAGAGGGCAGCACTGGGGCTGCCGCACAGAGGCCTTCAGTCCCCTGGGGCTGTCGCTAGCCCTCGGGGTCGGATCCCAAGCCGGAGAAAAGATGCCCATTGGCTGCAATGGGCACTGCAGGGAGCCCGGTGTTTTAAAAGACAAAGCAAAGCCCGATGCACCAAAAGCCACAATCCAGCTGCGCAGACTCAGTGGGAAGCATGGCCTGAGTCAAGGTCAAGGTCACTGCTTATCAGCGGAGGTGACATATTGCCTGGCGTGAAGCTGAAACCAGTTTCCCCCGCTTGGGCCAATATCTCGTAATAGTGCCCAGGATCAGAAAGGGTCCAAAGGCTGCCAGGGCCAGTGCTGGCTTTGCAGTCGCTCCACTGGCCGCCCCACGGTTGGCTCGGGAGAAAGCCTGGTTAAAGCCAGGGGCCTGTAGCCTTCCCGTATCCCCCAACACTCGCTGCTGGGTTTGGTGCATCAAGACCCCGCTTGAATTCCAGGATTTGCCACATTGACTTTTGGACAGGGGTTGTTTCATGGAGGCAGCAGCTGATAATAATTACCATGAAAGCACTCGCGTGTGCACGCACAAGTCACACGACGGGTGGTTGTGTGTACATGTGCTGTACTTGTGTGGGTTTGTGTGTGTGTGTACCTGTGCTGTATTTGTGTGGGTGGGTGCATGAGTCACATGATCAGCAGTAGCGCGTGCACACATCAGTGATGCCTACAAATCACATGGCCAGCAGTCATGTGTGTGTTTGTGCACGAGTACATACGTGTGTATGCACGAGTCACCTGATCAGCGGTACCATGCGAGTATGCATGTGTGTATACGCATAGGTATGTATGCAAGTCACATGTATATGTGTGTTTGTGTTGCCAAAGTCACATCCCCGGCAGTGTGTGTGTGTATGTGTGTGACTAGCACATCGATACCCACAGCTGCACTCTGCCAGCAGTACAGGTATTCCAGGGCCTGCTCCAGTACCTCGTCATTCTGTCTCGGTGCAGAAATACGCCTGGTGACACGCAGTGACTCACGGGCTGCTATTAGCTATAAAAAAACTGGTCAGGTCAGCCCAGGCATATTTGTGCTCACTTCCCTCCCCGCTGCTAATTAGGGAGAAGAATGTTTGTCAACATAGGACAGTAGCTGCCATCTCCTGCTGCTGGGGACCAACAGGCGCAGCATGGCCCCCAAAACACTCTGTGTCACCGCAGAGCCCACCAGGCCAAGGGGCATCCCAGGATTTAGACGTCGGGCTTGTCCGTCGGCAGGTGCAGAGAGTCAGACCAGCACCTGACGTGCAGATGCAAAGCTGGATTCTCTAAAGTGGTCTGGCCTGTTTCCAACTTCCCCCCTCTCCAGAGCTGTCTGTCCAGGGTATGTATAGAACCCCTGTCACCTTAGTACCTCACAGTCTTTAATGGATCTGTCCACACAGCCCCCCGCGGGAAGAAGGGCAGTGCTATCATCCCCATTGAACAGATGGGGAAACTGAGGCACAGGGCGACTAAGTGACTTGCCCAAGAGATATGCATCCGAAGAAGTGGGCAGTAGCCCACGAAAGCTTATGCTCTAATAAATTTGTTAGTCTCTAAGGTGCCACAAATACTCCTGTTCTTCTTTTTGCGGATACAGACTAACACGGCTGCTACTCTGAAACTTGCCCAAGAGAGTCGGTGAAGAATTGAACTCGGGTCTCCGAGGTCCCAGGCTAGCACTGGACAACTCTTCCTCTCTAGTGCCTCCTCCAAATGCGGAGGAATCAGGATCAATGGTTAGAGGGGATAGGTACGTAATTAGGTATCTAAGTGACGTAGTCACATCTCACAGCCTATTCCACGAACAAGGAGGGAGCAGTGAGTCTGGCGTGGGGCTGGGAGGGGGGACTGGCTTCCCTTCTTTAATGCATATTCGAATGCCTCTGGACCCTTTGCCGGAGCTGTGGCTTCCAGCCGGTTACCCTCTCGAGGATCTGGCTAATGGCGCTTCAGGAACCTCATGGCAGAAAGTGGGAGAAAGGGGAAAGTTCTCCAGCAAACAATTTACTGCTTTAGAGGCGTGACCAAAAGCCAGACCAGGAAAGAGCAAGGGGCAGGTGCATTTATTGACACTGACGCTCTCGCCCACTGTACAGCTAGGGGTTGCTGCAAATAGGGAGCTCAAGCTACCAAGCGTGGGCCAGACGTTCCCCCCAAAAAGCACAGGCCCGGATTTTCAAGAGCTCAGCTGCACCCACTGTTCAAGCAAGCCTCGGGATGCCGAGGGAGGGACTTGGAATTGTGTAGCTGGCTTGTGCACAGGGAGGGTGACCCAGAGCCTGCCTCTGAAAAGAAACTCAGTTTCGTGTGTCGTGTTTCTGTGAGTTCTCTTCTCAGGCTCTCCCTCCCCCACACCCCCGGCTTCCGTGTCTCCCTCACGCGTGTAAACATACACACCGATTTTCACACCACCTGCCGGGCACACAGACAAATCTCCACTTCACAATGTACTGGCACGAGAAGCCGAAGAAGAGCTGCGGTTGGTGTGAAAAAGGCAGAAGGCTCAGGTGTGTGTTACGGGTAAACACGACACACTGACTTCAGGACACAGCTATACACGCACACGTCTATCCCTGGGGTGAGGAATCGCCCATCTTTTACAAAGAGGGAAACTGAGGCACGGTGACAGGACTTGCCCAGGGTCAGTGGGGGAGCTAAGGTTAGAACGGAGAAGGTTGTGGCACACACCATCTCTCTCACACACACACTTGAGTTTCCATGTCACTGCCCCTTGCACAGCCATTCACACTAGTGCCAAGTGGCTGTAAAATGACCAGGTGGCGATTGGTGGGGCAGTTGCAGGGAGTCCCTGACATTGAAGGGGAGGTGAGGGGGGCACACAGGGAGCTTGTGGGAGGCAACAGAGGATGGAAGGAGCCCTGGTGGCGTCCAATGAGCTGGGCCGACACAAGGTAGGACGTGTGCAAGTGACCACACCAAGGGCAAGGCAACAGACACACACATGCACACGCACACATGATCCCAAACACACACGCATGCGCACACACACGCACGCATGCGCACACATACACATGTACAAACGTACGCACACACAAACACAGATATGCACCCATGCATGCAGACACATACACACACCCACATGCATACACCCACACAAACATGCACACACATGTATGCACACAAACACGTACACACACAGGTACTCACACACACACATATGCACACAAACACGCGCACACACAGGTACTCACACACACATGTATGCACACAAATACGCGCACACACAGGTACTCACACACACGTATGCACACAAACATGCACACACAGGTACTCACACACACACGTATGCACACAAACACGCACACACACAGGTACTCACACACACACATATGCACACAAACACGCGCACACACAGGTACTCACACACACATGTATGCACACAAACACGCGCACACACAGGTACTCACACACACATGTATGCACACAAATACGCACACACACAGGTACTCACACACACGTATGCACACAAACATGCGCACACACAGGTACTCACACACACGTATGCACACAAACACACACACACAGGTACTCACACACACACGTATGCACACAAACATGCGCACACACAGGTACTCACACACACGTATGCACACAAACACGCACACACACAGGTACTCAGACACACACGTATGCACACAAACACGCGCACACACAGGTACTCACACACGTATGCACACAAACACGCGTACACACAGGTACTCACACACACGTATGCACACAAACGCACACACACAGGTACTCAGACACACACGTATGCACACAAACACGCGTACACACAGGTACTCACACACACGTATGCACACAAACACGCGCACAGACAGGTACTCACACACACGTATGCACACAAACACGCACACACACAGGTACTCACACACACACACGTATGCACACACACAGGGACTCACACACACACGTATGCACACAAACACGCACACACACAGGTACTCACACACACACACACACACACGTATGCACACAAACACGCGCACACACAGGTACTCACACACACACGTATGCACACAAACACGCACACACACACACACACACACGTATGCACACACAGGTACTCACACACACACACGTATGCACACACAGGTACTCACACACACACACGTATGCACACACAGGTACTCACACACACGTATGCACACAAACACGCGCACACACAGGTACTCACACACGCGCACCCAGAGGTTTAAAGACCTCGCAGCCGCGCAGATTTGTGAATGAGAGGAGCCGCCCCGCCCTCCGCCCGCTGCCATTGGCTGGGACTTCGCCGGGCAGGGCCCCCCCCCGGGAGAAGCGGCGGCTTTGCCTGTCAATGGCCGGAGTCCCCGGGTCCGGCCGGCTCCGCGTGGCGTCCGCGCCCCCCACTTCCTCCTCCAGCGCCTGAGACCGAGCCGCAGCCGGCGCCCGGGGGGTCCCCGCTGCCACCTGCTCTCACCCTGACTCCAGCAGCGGCCGGGCAGGGGGCACCCGCCGCTCCTGCCAAGCCCCAGGCGTAGCCCGGCTGGGCTCCCCCAGAGGCTGCTGCCCGCTGACCCCTTCCTGGGGGCGGGGGCGGCCCCCTGCCCTAGGAGCCCTGCGGGGAAGCTGGCACCAGGGATGCCCCCGGGCAGCTCTTGCCCGGGCTGGTGACGCGCTCCGGAGAGCGCCCCGCGCCTCCCACCAGCCTGAGCCCGGGCATGTGCTGGAGCCAGTCGTAGCACATGGTCACCCCCGGCCCGCCTGCCGCCTGGACCTCCTGCCCCCAGGACTGCCATGGGGCGGTCTCTCTGGCTCTGCCTGGCCCTCTCGCTGCTCGCCGGATCGGCCCACGGGGACCCAGCCGCCCCGCCGGGGAGCAACCACTTGAGGGCCCCCAGCAGGCACCCCCGGAGCTATAACCATCTGGAGGGCGACGCGCGCTGGAGGAGGCTGTACGTCTCCACCCACTTCTTCCTGTGCATCGACAGCAGTGGCAAGGTGCAAGGCACACGGTGGAAGGAAAGTCCTAACAGTGAGTACGGAGGGCACCGGGGTGGGAGGGTCCCCAGGGGACATTAGAGGCCTGTGCACCAGGTAGCAGGGGCGAGTGGTTTGAGCATTGGGCTGGGAGCCAGGAACAGCTCCTTCCTAACCCCTGCTCTGCCTCTGGCTGCAACCCTGGGTGCATCACTTTGCCCCTTTGTGCCTCAGTTTCCCTGTCTGTGACATGGGAGGCAAGATTTGGCGGGGGGTGGGGAGGGCTTGCTTAATGTGTGTAAAGGGCTTTGAAGGTGGAAAGCTCTGTTATCAATGGTCCTATCCCCGGGTCCTGATCCTTCCCACCCTGCTGGTGGACCTGGTCTTTTTGCCTGGCTGTTTGGAGCCTGGGTTCCCCCAGGTTCCCACTCCCATCACAAAGGAAAATAACAGTAAGAGAGTCACCCAGCTGGGTCATTACAAGCATGTAAACTCTCAGAGATGTACGTAGGCCTGGGGAGCATCCGTGTCTACGGGTGCCGGGGTAGAGAGGTGGTGTGCTGGATACGCTGCAGTAGGTGTTTTTTCAGAGGAATTTTTCTGGAATTACTTAGTCTGGCATGGGCATAACCATCACGCACTGAGCACTTCCCATCAGTCGATCTCAAAGTGCTCCATGAAGGTGGGTAGGTGCTGTTAGCCCCATTTTACAGATGGAGAAACTGAGGCCCAGAGCGGGGATGCGACTAACCCAAGGACAGGAAGGACGGACCATGCGTCACGGAGGGAGCAGGGGTTTTGAAAGTTGGGAAGCTCGATTTGAAGCAGAGGTGGGGGAGTTTGGCTCTAGGCGCAGCCATGAAACGTAGGGCCAGATCTAGGTTTGTATTCCAGTTCGGATTCAGGCCCATCTCTAACGGAAACTCAAGTAAGGCCCGGACTTTCAAAGGGGATTAGCAACAGCTTGAAAGAAAGCCTGATTTTCAGAAGGGACCTGAGCACCTGCTCTCTAAAAATCAGGGTTTTAAAGTAGCTTCAAGTTGAGCCCCCAAACTCACTGAGTCACTTTTGAAAATCTTGCCTTACGTATGCATGAGACGATCTCCTGCAAGGCCACCGGAAATCTCCAGTTCCCCCTGCATCCCAGCCCTGAGACACAGCCCCTGCAGTCGACACACGGCCTCACCAGGCCGTCGGGACATCAGCTTCTTGTCTGATCGCTAATAATTCTCTTTTTAGTTGCACTCGGCACCTGCAGCAATTCTTTGCCTTGTGATTGAGTCGCCTGTCCAGCTCCGTGCAGCGATGAGCGAGTATTTCATTAGATCATAGGGTCACTTGCCTGCTGCTAATGAGGGTCAGGAAGGGCTTGTGACCTGGGACTCAGGGGATCTGGGGTCACTTGCCAGCTCTGACATTGACCCCTTGTGTAGCCTTGGGTGAGGCACTTTAAAGCCCAGATCCTCACTGATATTCAGGCACCTAACTCCCATTGGTTTGAATGGGACCTGGGCTATATACCTTTGAGGACCTGGGCGTTAATCTTTCTGGCCCTCAGTTCCCCATCTGTAAAATGGGGCTAATAATCCCTTTCCCCTGCCCTTTTGCCTACTCTATTGTAAATTCTTGGGCTCTTTTACTCTTTGTATGTTATCATTGGGGGCTGATCGTGGCCTTAGAGATGCTCTTGTAGTGTTAATACTTAGGAGAATTGCTCTTAAGATGAGTTGGGCTTGAACCAAATTTCTACTGGAGGGGGAGGCTCAGAATCCAGGTCTGACTTTTTGCAGATTGAGGCATCCTCTAGTCTTAACACCCCTCCGCTCCATTAATCCTGGCCCGTTCCAAGCCCGCTTCCCAGACGCCTGGAATTCTGTCCAGCTCTCTCTGCGCAACAGACTGGCCCTGAAATGCAGCAAGGTACTTTGCTCCTCTGCCTTTGCGTCAGTGCCCAGAACTGCATCCTAATTAACGCCAGGAGGCCTGGGCAGATGCATGGGGGGCCTGTGTTTGCTACAGGAGGCCAGATAGTGTTGTTATGCTACCTTTGCATAGGGCCCGAGATACTTAAGAGTCAAATACGAAGGTGAGGCCACTGCCCCCAATAGCACGCAGCCTGACCCCGCCGGACAGCATTATGAGATGACATCTCGAGTGCATTAAGGGTCAGGGAAAATCACAGCAAGGGGATCAGGAGCATAACATCAGCTGGCTGCTTTAAATAAATAAATTTATGGAGACCTCTTATCTCCTAGAACTGGAAGGGACCTTGAAGGTCATTGAGTCCAGCCCCCTGCCTTCACTAGCAGGACCAAGTACTGATTTTGCCCCAGATCCCTAAGTGGCCCCCTCAAGGATTGAACTTACAACCCTGGGTTTAGCAGGCCAATGCTCAAACCACTGAGCTATCCCTCCCCCCTACAGCAGAGTCACCTGCATCCCACAGAGAGGCGGTATGGGGAGGAGCACCCAAGCTTTGCCATGATGCTAGGCTACAGTAACACCACCACAGGATTAGGCCTTTCCCTGGGGCATGAGGCTGCCGCATTGCCTCCTCCGCCGACCTCTAATCAGGAGTTCCCCAGGCCGCCGGCCGGTAGGGTGACCAGACAGCAAGTGTGAAAAATCGGGACGGGGGTGGGGGGTAATAGGAGCCTATATAAGAAAAAGACCCAAAAATCGGGACTGTCCCTATCAATTCGGGACATCTGGTCACCCTACCAGCAGGAGGTGGGAAGAGGCGGCCAGTGGCCCCCGTAGCTAGTAGAGTCTCAGTTGATCAGGGTTCAGCTGTAAATATTTTCACTGTGGAAGCAAAGTCCTGATTCAGTTCCACTCTGTCCCTGCTCTGCCAGTCCCACCCCTCTCCCATCTCCTTGATAACAGCGCTGCAGCTCCTGGCGGGACTTGGCACCCAAGTGCAGGCATGGAGACAGGGATGGGAGGCTGACGGTATCTCGAAGACAAAAGCGCTGGAGTCGGGAAAGCCGCCTGAGATCTGGGCGCAATCCGAGGGATTGGCTCCTGCAGGAGTCAGATCCCATCCTCGTTTGCACCCAGGCAGTTCCACTGACCCGAACGAGGGTGGAGTCTAGCCCACCATGGCTATGTGACGACTAACATGGCCCAGATCGGCCGGGGTTACCCTTCCCTGGGAGTTTGGTCGAGTTTATTATTGGTATGACAGTCTGGATCCCATTGTGCTGGGAACTGAACCGACCGAGAGACCCTGCCCCCAAAGAGTTTACAATCGTAATAAACAAGACCGACAAAGGATGATCTCCATTGTACAGATGGGGAAACCGAGGCACAGAGCGACGGGACTGACTCCACGCAGGGGCTCAGTGGCAGAGCCAGGTCCTTTCTCTAAAGCTGATGATTTGCAAACACCAAGGGCCCAATTGGGAGGATTGCGTCACCTTTCGCTCCTGCCAAGCTCCCGGAAAGGAGCAATGAGGGCAGAGCAGTGACTCCATATCGGTCCTGGCTAGCAGCACGGCCTGGGGTGATGTGTGTGTGTGTGTGTGGGGGGAACTATATGCGGATGCTGGCTGCAGCCTCCCGAAGGGATCAGTTCCTCCTGTGCGGCCCCCTCTGCTAAGCCTGAGACTGGCCAAGGTGGGATCTAGGCTTTATTAGGGTGGCGATTTTATTGGGCAAGGGAACAGAGCCACTGTCGGGTTTGAACTCCCAGGACAGAGCCAGCCGCGACTGAGAGCAGACCAGCTTGTGTTATTTGGAGAGAAGCAAATGTCCTTTGTTATTAATAGCAACAACCGCACAGGATCGTGCGACCTGACTGGAGTTGCTGGCACCTAATTAGCTTCTCGCCTCCCAGACTGTTTGCGGGCGGCTTTGCTCAGACCTTGCAAAAGACGACCGGTCGGTTTCACTTGTTTCTAGCCAGCGCCGGGTCCTGGCTCCTGGGTACTTGTGCAACGCTGCGATGAGTGGGTGGTAAATGCCACAGAGGAGGGGGTCAATTTCCCTCCCCCCAGGGAAAAGATCTGACCCTTCCCATTTTAGGCAGAAGCCAACCAATAACCAAGGAGCTGAAGAGAAATTTTCCCTTAAGTGCCTGCTGCAGGGCTTCATGCACCTTCCTCTGAAGTAGCGGGTGCTGGGGCCTGTTGGAGACGGGGTGATGGGCTGTTAGTCTGATCTGGTCTGGCAGGTTCTGTGCTCCCATTGATGAGAGGCTTTGCAAACTCTGGTCTTCGTAAAACGCCATTTTCATCCTGCCTGTGTCCCTTTAACGGCCTTGATGAGCCAAAACTAGAGACCGGGGACGTTGCGCTATATGCAAAACAGGGACAGAAAACGTTGCTTAATGGAGACCAGTTTTGCTCGTGCTAAGAGATGAAGTGGTGTCCAGCTGAGTGTGAAAATCTAAGGGGGATGTTTTCACAAAAGAGAGTCCGGGGTCTTACTCAGGTGCTGCCCCATCCTGGCTCCACCTCCACACACAAAACTCTAGTGCCGTGGTGTTTTAAACCTGGGCTCCCTGGCCCATCCTGTCCTGACTGCTGGGTTCACTCCCGCTGGTAACCCGCCTTCTTGGTGGGGAGGATGTGGGCTAGCACCACTTGAATGCTGCCTGTCCTCCAATGCCTTCCCACAATCCCCCCTGGGTGCCTGGAAAGACAGTCAAATCCTCCCCCAAGTCATTGGGGGTGGAGGTGGGGGAATCAGAGAGCAGCTGGGCTGTCTGCAGCACAAAGTGACATGGGATAGGCCCCAGGAGCGCCGTGGCTTTGCAGCAGTGTGACCGCTCACCCCTGGGCTGAGTTAACTCAGACTCAGCTGCTGACCCTCCTGCGGCGACCAGATAGCAAGTGTGAAAAATCGGGATGGGGGTGGGGGGTAATAGGAGCCTATATAAGAAAAAGACCCAAAATCGGGACTGTCCCTATAAAATCGGGACATCTGATCACCCTAGGTGTTCCCACTGCCCCGGGAGCTGCCCACCACAGCAAAGCCCGCCCCAGCCGTGAACGAGGCTGCTAGCTTGTGGCGAGGGGTCCGTTCGCCTGCGGCTACGGCAGGCCCCTGTGG